GACCGGGCCGAAGGAGTTGACGCGCAGGGGGAGGGGGCAGAGGAAGGGGGGGAGGAGCTCCAAGGGCCGGGCCGTGGCGGCGCGCCCGTGGGGCCGCCGCCGCCACCAGAGGGAGTCCTGGAGAAGCGGCTCGGCAAACTATCTCGCGCGCGCGAGCGCCGCCGCGCCGCGTCGGCTGGTCGGGAGGGGCCGGACGCCGCCGCCCAAACGGCGACAGCGCCGCGGCCGTCGGAGGAGCGCAAGCGGGAGTGGCGCCAAGCACAGAAGCGCAACCGGGACCGGCGGCGCGCCGAGAAGCGCGCCGGGGGCGCGCCGCCGCAGCCGGCGACAAATGGCGCGCGGGACGGCCCCTCGCCGCCGCTTGCCGCGCCCAAGGGCAGCGATGGCGGCGGCGTCGGCGGCGGCGAGGCGCGCCGGGCAGCGGTGGTGCGCGTGCTGCGGCGCGAGCTGCGCGACCCCCGCACCCAGCTGGCGGTGGACCTGCTGACGTCATCGACGGCGGGCACACGAGGCGCCGGGGACGGCGGCGACCCCACCGGCGTAGAGCAGCAGCTGGGGCAGATGCTGTCGGCGCTGCTGGCGCCGCCGCCGCCGCCGCCACGTCAGCGGCGCGGGCCCGGGCCGCGCGCCCAGGCCCACAGCCTCTGCCTGCCCTGCCCTGCGGCGGGCGACGCCGCGGATAAAGAGGAAGCGGCCGCAGCGGACAGCGGCGCCGCGCGGCGCCGCGGGCACGGGCTGTCATACGAGGTCGCCCCGGCCGGCCCCGGCGTCGCGGCCGGCAGCCACGAGGCCGCGCGGCCGCTGCAGCGGTCTATCACGCGCCACCTCGCTGCGGGCGGCGGCGGCGCTGCTGCTGCGGCCGCCGCGGCCCCGGGCGCGCCGCCGGCGTCCCAGGAGGCGCAAAACGGCGGCGGCGCCGGATTGAGCGGCGGGTCGAGCGGCGGGGCGGGGGCGGGGGCGGCGGCTCCGTGGCGGCAGCTTCCCAGCAGCTGCGCGCTGTCCGGCGTGGTGGTGTACACCCCTAGCCGCGTGCACGGGCTGCTGGATGTGACGCCGATCCCCTCGGCCCCGCGGCCGCAGCAGCCGCCGGCCGCGGCCGGGCCGTCCGCCCCGCCGCGGCCGGCGCCAAGGACGCTGACGCCGCCGCCGGCGCTGTCGCGCCTCATGTCGCCGGCAGCCTCCACGCAGTGGCTGGCCCTGGAGGCGGGCTGGGAGTTGGAGCCCTCGTGGCGCGGCGTGGCGCCGCTGGCGGCGGGCGGCGAGGCGGGGGACGCCGACTTGGAGCGGCAGCATGCCGAGGCGCAGGAGGAGGAGGAGGAGGAGCAGGCGCGGCTGGCGGCTGCAGCGCCCTTGCTTTCGCAGCAGCAGCCGCGGGGCCAGCCGCGGACGCTGCTGCGCCAGGCCTACACGCCGCGGCGGCGCGGCTCCGTCCGGTTCGGGCCCGAGGGCGCGTCGTTGCCGGGCGCGGGCCCCGCGGAAGCGCCAGCGGCAGCGGCGGCGCAGGCGGCGGCGCCAGCGGCGGCGGCAGCCCAGGGTGCGGCGCGTCTGGGCGGCATCAGCCCCGCGCCTCGGCGGCCCGCGGACGCCCGATCGGACGCTGTGCTGCAGGGGCCTGGGGCGGCGGCGCTGCCGGTGCCTCATGCTGACTTTGGCGGGGCTCATTCAACGCCCCAGCAGCAGCACCAGCAGCAGCAGCAGCAGCAGCAGCAGCAGCAGCAGCTAGCGTCCCCGCTGCAGCAGGCTCAACGGGCAGTAAGCACCCCGGGCGCCGGCACGGGCGCCACTCCCGGCTCCGCCCCTAGTACCAAGCGTAAGAAGCAGCCGCGCACCCCAAAGCCGCGCGCAGCAGAGGGGTTCATGTAACACTTCAAATCTTGGAGCTTGAAAGCAACGAGTCTGGCCGAATCATCCGCATACACTTTTCCATGCGCGGCTGATACCGCGCTTGTATCTGCGCAGGGGCTGCTCGGTGACCGTTCACAATCCGTGCGGCGAGAAGACCTGCCGCTCAACTGCCACGACACCCAAAGCATCCTAGCACTGCGCCGACGGCATCCAGCGGGCAGCCAGTTGCGCCTCAACACTTTGAGATCCCACGCATCCCCCCCACCCCCCCACATCCCCCCTTCCGAC